AACTCAGCCATCTTGGAATTTTTTGTGATGACGTCATTATTCCGATTAAATTTTTTAACGAGAGTGAGGAGTAACTATTTAGCCAAGTTCTTGTTACATTTGATATACATAGCATATGAAAAAAGTGACTAAAAACATACATTTATTTCCCCTACCCCCATCTTAATTAGTCCAAAATATATTTTATGTCAAAATTTCAAAGTGCTATAAAAAAAAGTTGCCCAAGCTCTAAGAATGGGGATTTTTTTTCTGAGACACTATATGATATACTGATTCAGAAAAACCAATAAATTTTCCTTTACTTTTTTCCCGCTAATTTCCTACTGCACCCAGGCTATATGGCGAATTTGTATTACTTATTTGATATACTGTATTTAAATTTTATATATTTTACCAGCCTGTTAGTGGCGATGATTCGCTGTTGGTCTGATGAAATGAAATAAATAAATAAAATAAATAAATAGGTATCGAGCTACTATAATATGACTTCATGTATGTTTTCAAATGTCGAAAACAGCCTCCAAAACTAAAAAAACACAGTTTGAAAAAAACCAAAAATGTAATCATCTGATATATTTTAAAATCCTCATTCTTCAAAGTGAAATTCTAAATTTTGGAAATTTTGCATGAAATTTGTCACCCACGCTGTCAAGGTCGAGGTTGCTTCCCCTATCACGATGTATTCCAAGCATTATGAGACTATCCAAACGAGCATTTGTCATAACAGAACGCAAATTATTTTTAATTAGTCTCATTGAAATATTATTATTATTATTATTATTGTGATGGAAAGTTGACACAAATAGTTAAATGAAAACAATATCGTGGCTAAACGAATATTACATGTAAATATATTTTTTTTTAAATTCTCCGACGAGGAGGGGGAGGGGGGTGGAGACTAAGCTTCACTGGCTGTGAATCAAATATGAATAAAACAAAGATTCTCATCTCCCCATTCTTAGTTCGTTGCCGACAGAAATTATTAAACACTCGTAGCAATGCTTTTTCGGGCCTTAAACGCGAATCACCTTTATTACAGTACACGCCTCTGCTCAAGAGACACGCAGGAAATTAGGCATACAATTTAAAATGTATTGTTTTTATTTGAATCGGGGGGAAAATTATGGAAAACAAACTGCGCATTTTGGAGCATTGTTTTGATGTAAAAAGTTGTGGGTTCTTGGCTCTGACCTCAAGTTACCTTTAACTACAAGATCGTTTTCCAGTTGTGTATGTGACTAAAGTATATACAATAAGGTAAAGTAGTTATGGTTACCGTGGCAGCCCTAGCAGGGTTGGGTATCCCATTCGGACAGCGCAACCTCCACAAGACACGGATCGTCGGACCAAATGAGAACAAAATCTTTTTATTTTTTACTTTTTAAATATCTGGGGGAAAATTACGTTCTAAAACGTCCCAAAAATTTCCAATTTTTTTTAGGCATCAGAGGGATAAGCCTGTGGACCCCTGACCACTGTCAGACTCAACTCCCATCCCCAGTCATACAAATCCTGAGCTGCCATTGGTGGCCACTTGAATGATATTTCAAGCTATTTTTTTTAATGCAAATACTATAGCAATGTGTTGTAAAAGTTTGTTGGTTCGGGTTTATGACCTCAAATGACCTCTTCCCCATTTACGTATGGCAGTTTACTATGTACACAGTGGCTACAGATGTATTTATTGCAAAGAATATTGATAACAACAGTTTCTAACTACAGTACTGCAATGAGAGATGCACTTCAAATCAACCAAGAACACATCAATTTTCATTATCTATCCATTTAGAGCATGTTTATTATCAATACCGAAGACGAATCTCTTATATCAGTCAGTTAATTAGTCTCCAGATCTTTAGCTTGAACACAAATTCACATTATTCTTATTTGGTCACAATTATACATTTACATGTTTACTAATAAAAAAATAACAACTAATCACAACATTCAACAAAAGTGATAGATATTGAAACATAAATAGATGAACGTAACAACAACAATAATTACACACTTACAATGATTTTAATACAAGTTATTATTCTAACATCAGAGAATGCCATGGTTAAATCTAAAGGCAATTATTAGACAGATTTTTCATCTACACTTATAGAGTATATCGGACATTTTGTATCGTCTTTATGGTAGTATGAGTCATAGGATGGATGCTTACTGTCTATAAAATATATTACTGGATATGCTCTTAGTGATTCAGCAATCACTGATCACCAACATACACAAATCAAGGGATTATAGAATAGAAACATGTCACAATGAAACTACGTCACCTGGAATAAAATACCAAGTGCAATACCAGGTGACCATTGTAATTTTAATATTAATTTAAATATTACAATCCATCATCAAATAATTTCTATTGCTCAGTGTTAACACATGCCAACATCTTTCACACCTGTTTATTGAATATGTAAATCAGATGCAGTTTTACCAATATATCTAACAATTAACAAACATTTCATATATTTCAGAACAAAAATAAACAAAATAACCATAACACTGAGGATTTTACCTCTACTTCCTGACATGGGTCTTAATGTCAACAAAAGGGCTAAGCTAATACTTTTTATTAAGACAAAATATCTGCTCCAATCTGTTACCAAGACGATCCTTTAGTATTAAGTTCACTGTTTTAACAAAGACAATACTTATCACAAAGAAGTATATATCTCTTTTACTTATATACTATATTATATATTGTATCTATCTATCTATATAATCTTAGACACTTCAGCTCTGTTGCTGAATATTTTTGAGAGCATATTCTTTTAGTGAATAGATGAGTTGGAGAAATTCACAGGTGCGAAAAAATACATTAGTCAACCTATCAACCACTTGTTGATGTAAAAACTAAAAAAGAAGGTAAGGAATCATGAAATAAAAAGTATTATACACAGAATCATAAAAATAGGATGGAATGGATGTTTTTGACAGTAATAGTATCAATATTATCAAAGTTTTTCTATCTATGACATTTAAATTTAAATCCTCAATCAATATTCCGCAAAACCATAATATCATTACATGCTTCTCAGCAATATAACATATTTTACTGATTGAGCTCCTTTATATCAAATGCCCTCTTTAGAATAATAAATATACATCAACATCATTTGAAGAATGGAGACTAAATAAAGAAAAAAACATAAATATACCATTTGGTATTACACATTACAGAAGATATCGACCACTGGTATTAAGTGAAAGTACATGGAGAATTTTCTGTTGTTCAATGTAATGATTGGCTTAGCAAATAAAAACATATTTATTAGTTTCAAATCAAGAGAAGATATTTATGCAAGAATCGATTGGATGAAATATTTGCATTTTAATAAACACTCATCATATGTGATTGGCAGGAAATATATGCATCCTAACAAAATCCATCTTTATACAAGATGTGATTAGCTAAAATGTCTGCATTCTAACAGATATCATTATTCAATCTCACTGACTGAAATGAGTATAAAACAAAACTGGAGTATCTTGACATCAGTCATGCAAAACACATGGCTTGTCTTGGCACCTGTATTCTAATTAAAGGTGTTATATGTAATGTATCATTTACTCAGCCATACTGCTGTAAAGGAGGATGTAATCAGTAACACACGTTTGTAGCTTTACAATTTGTATTGCTAAAATAAAGTTTGACAATATATGCTCACAACGTTCATAAATTATTCTGTCTTCTATAGCTAAAATTTCTGTCTGGCTTCCTGTAAACACAATTAGCCATTAAAGGAATGGAATTTCTGGGAGTCGGAATACACCAACTAACAGCATTTTAGTCTTATTCCAATCCATTCTATATTTTTCTGGGAAAATTACACCTGTGTAATCTAACCTTAATAATCATTGCCTTTCATAGTCACATCAGAATGGAAGCATAATTTTCCTCCATTCTGTTAGGTGTGCTTAATATTCCCAAGCATATATAAACCCTGATGAGCACTAACATGGACCACTTAACTAAGTATAATTTGTATTGATGATTATTCTTCCAGTAGAACTGCCTTGATGTCATCCAAAAAGCTTGATAGTAGTGTAGAATCTGAGCCTTTGCCCTCTATTGATAAACCATTATTTGCCTACAAAGAAAGTTTAACAAAAGAATAAAAGAATCTGTTACTTTCAGTTCTGTAATCATTGTTTCCTTTCTGAATTCAACACAAAATAGCAGGAAAAATAGATTGAAATCTACCACAATTCCATTCACAACAATTCCATTGATATCTATAATCTAAAATGTTGATTCTTCTTCTTATTGGGTCTATACACAGGTCTATATTTAATTCACATATCCTAGCATTGTCTTTGAGTTCCACAAGGTCAGCAGTAGTAGTAGAGGGGACAATTGAGAAAATGTTGCTTTATCAAGAATCCTTGTTACTTACCAATAATTTGACTAGTAAACAAATATGATGACTCTGGATGGAACAAGAGTACAATGAGGCAGAGTCACCGACCCTTTCAACTAATCGGCAGTGAGTAAAGAAGCATACCCTATGCAGGGCATAGTTAAACTCCATAGGTACAGAGGCTATTGTTAATGAATTCTTTGCTTGCAAATCACCACTTGATAACAGATTAGCAAATTCAGTTCTACAATAAAGATAACATTAAATGTTGTGGTTATAGAATATTAAAATTTACTATATTTATGATTTATGTATATTATGTATTATAATATTAAGTGATGATAGCTTGAGTGAACTTAAATAACACAGTTTTCATAATTAAGATCAATTTTACATCTGATCCATTCAACAAATTATTTAACACTATTCATTATACATTAATAAACACTACAATCCCTCTCTCTTTTTTTTCTCCCACTTTCCAACTCACCCCGTGCAAGGAACTGCAGTGGTATAAGCTGTTACCGGTAGATGTACTTTAAAATCAATCTTTTCACTTGTAGATCCAGCTTCATCCTGAAAAAACATTTTTTTTTTCTGTCACTTTTTTTCTGTCAAGATTTTAAGGAAATTGGTGAAAAAGATATAGAATTAAATTCTATTATCAAAATAGCACACTCTAGTGATGTGTGCTCTAGCAACAACAGTGTCCTGATACATAAGTAGAAGAATGAACACTGAAGTAATGCTTTGATGTTTTTTTTTCTCAAAAGGTTGCTGGTTTGAGCACAAGTCTGGTAACTTTGATTGTGTCCTCATGTAAGGGACTTCCCCCATCTGTTCCTCTTCATCCAGGAATATAAATGGATTTGGAATGACAAAATTGCTCTGGCATTGAGCTACCTTCATGTCTAGGAACACTTCCCGATGGAAGCAGAGCAAGTTCCACATTATGGACATGGATAACGTATTCAAATTCCCAGGAAGCATAATTACCCATGAGCACCTATTGCTAGTGGATAAAAGCAGTAAACAAGACTCCACAATAGAGGGATTTAGCGATGATTGTTTACAGGTGGTCATGTGACCTAACTTGGATATACATGAAAAACATTACAGTGCGATAGCATAGGAAAAGATAATGTCATGGTTTCGAAAAAAACCAACCACTGTTAACGTGAGAAGCAAATGGCTAGGAATGGCAATACGATTGTTCAAAATAGTGTTTATTTACTTATTCTTCTTGGATTGTATGCTTTGAAATTTAAGTGATCCTTCATAAACCTTAGATTGCCCTAACATCACAGCGTAGTTCGCGAGTCGAAGACCATCATGCATACCTAACCATGCCATAGATGTGCAGGAGCCTAGGCCTAACATTTGTCTAAAAATCTCAATGTCTGCGGCCAGTATCCTTTACAGCATTAGCAAACCATTAAGGCAAAATTCTTAAGTTTAATTTCCAATCAATTTGATATAGTTTACTGGGAATTATGATGATCTTTACAGCAATAAACAAGGGACAGCCGCGATAGCAATCTCCATGTAAAACACTGCTGTGTCCGTGGATTGTTTATATCCAACACCCAAGTTAGGTCATGTGACGCCCATTGCTAAATCCCTCTATTACTATTACAAAGTAAAAAATCAAATTTGCCCATCCTTGGAGTGCGCCCTCACTAATTATCATGAAAAGGCTTTGTAAACCAAGTAAACTACCGGCTAAATAAACACTGTCTTCCTAATATTATCATTATTATAAACAAAACATCTAAAGCCTGATGCTTACCTTAATCATATAAGTTAATGTTCCTCTGAGTTTTTGGGGCATGGTAACATTTTGAACAGTAAAAGCAAACTGGCCTTCATTTGTGGCACCAGCAGGAAGCTGGAATGGTACACTGATGCCATCATGAGAGGAAGCACCACTCTGTATCGCAAAGAAAATGTACAAAAAAAACCCCCATTAATAACAAATACAGCAATATCTGATGGTGCGCAATTGCAGAGTTAAAAAGCTAGCATTTCTGAAGGTCCATATCCTGGCAACAAATGTCAGGATAAAAACGGTATTACAATTTCAGTAACATCTGATGGTTACACATGAAGTGCACAATTGTAGAGTTTTGGTTAATAACGAGTCTTTCTTTCTGAAGGTCAGGGTAAGAAATGGCATTACATCTTCAGTAACATTTGATTATTCAGTTCCAATTATGCAAAAATCCCCAAAAAGATAAATTCTAACACTCAATTACATTAAAAGATAAGGCACATATAGACATACACAGATAGGCAAATAGACCTAAATAGATATATAAATAAAGGCCAACAATCCTTACCTCTCTTACAAGACGTGTGTTGAGAGAGTCAAGTACATTAAAATCTAAAGACTTGAGTTGTGAATTGGTTAAGTTACTAAAGATGATGGATAAAACCACTTGTTTACTGTGGTTCATATCAATTCGTGTTTCATACGTCTGAAATCATAAATTAAAGGAAATTAAATTAATAACTCATCTTTCACAGATGATCTGCTCTCGGACAGATAAATGTTATAGACCATTTAAGTGTTGCAAATAAAGATCATAATTATATTCTCCACATCTCTTGAGTAAAGCACAGTAATCATATATATTTGTATTTTGTTATATTATTTTAATATGTATCACAAAGGCTCCTCACAAGCCACAGCCTTAGTAGCATGGAGTCTCTAATACATTCATTATGAAAGGAAATATGAAAAGCAAAGTATCAGCATGGGTACGCAAAGAGCTGGTTGCCAGTAGAAGGGAAATCATTCTAAGAGATAAAAACAGGGGAATAGAACACTCTTGGAAACAAGCCAAATACTGTTGTTCCTGGAACTTGAAATTAACACCACAAATTGTTCAACATAGCAGGAATGATATTTACTTCTGTAGAAAATAGCATCCTGTAAGAATAATCTCCCACCCACAACCGAAAGAAAAAAAAAATACAAAAGCAACTTTTAAATTGGTACTTACTAGTTTTATTGATTTGTTTTCAGCCAGTGGTTTGTAACTTGATAATTGCTACAAAGAAATACATTGTAATATATAAATTAAAACTACCTCAAATGATACATTGTGTTAAACACATCGCATTAAAATGGACATTAAATTCACCACTACACAAAAATAATGACTTCAACAATTTACAAGCATGTAAAATCATTAGTGAATGTTGTGAATATTGATAAAATTGGTTGTTTGATAGTTCAAATATCTTCATTTCATACAGATAATTATTCACTTCCTATAAAAGGATCAATTGAAGTTCAAACAATTTATTGCGTGCGTGTCAAAAACTGGAAAAACTATTATAAAACATAAAAAACTCAGAAAAGAAATTGCTTAATAAAAAACTTAACTGATAAAGTCCAAATAATTAGTAAAATAAAAGCAATTTATTAATTAATTTTAATGAAAATTAACTTACTGGTAATTGGACTTCCACTTCTTCAACAACAGTACCTCCATTCTCATTTGCAATAGCTTCTGCTTCTTCTGTTTTGTTGGATTTTTTCTTTTTATCTTTTTTCTTCTCTTTCTTATCTTTCTTTGATTTCTTTTCTCTCTTCTTATGTTTCTACAACAAAGATAATAATAATAACTAGAAATTGCAAATTGCAAGTGAAGTGCTGCGAAGTACAACTGCATAAAATGTTCTTCGAACAAAATTATTTATGCGAGTCATGTGAAAATAATGAATAATAAAAATATAACAAATAATATGAGCACGACCCATTGTCTATATATTATTAGAACAGCGTTGGTACAATAGTGTTTTGCTGCAGTGACATCTCTCTGCTGGCGATGGCTCGCTGCTGCTGGCGATGACTCGCTGCTGGCAAATCGACCTGCGCATGTGTATAAAATGGTATTTATTTCCGCAAACACTATGCCAGTCTACAACAAGCGTCGCCTAAATGTAATAATTAGCACGTTGAAATAGGCTAGTAAATAAGTTTAACTGGGTTCGTAAATAATATTGTCCTCAAAATATTGTGGCTGAGACAGGAGCCGATTAAACGTAGAAATAGGAAACCTAGAAATATAGTAAAAACATTGAATAGTACTCCAGCGTCGCGACATGCCGACGTTGGTACGAGTAGGTTAGTCTACAAACGTCGGCCTAAAGTAATTGATTTTACCCGGCAGAACGAAAGAAGGAAACTCCGCTTTTCAGTTGTCTCAGGCGATTGATTTTTGACAAACAATGACCTTTCAGAGGTCAAATTGCTGTCAAGAATATGAATTGGCTGCTTCGCAGCAATAATAAAAATAATAAAGGCTTTGTTTAAACACAGAAAAGCTTGTATCACCAGAAGGTGTTCTTCTACAAGGCCATGATATTGATTAAATACTAAAAAGATTAACACCATTTACTAAACAATTTTTATAAAAGTAAACATAAACAAATTCAAAAACTTACACCACTGGGTAATAACTGTTCAAATGAATAAACATTTGTTGCATTTTGAGCTGCACTTTCAAGACTATTCCATAATTTGGCTCCATGATACGAAAAACTTCGCTTTTTGTACTCAGTTTTGGGTTTTTCCAAGGACAAGACATCATTAGATCTTGTATGGTATTTTTGTTCCTTAGCGGTAAATAATGTGTTTAAGTATGGTGGTGCTTCATTATGGAATATCTTATACAATGTAATAGTTTTAATTGTTAATATTTTGGATTATTTACTATTAGTTTTCATTTTACATCCTTCTTTCCCTCAAATTGCCTATTTAGTAGAGAAATAAAGTATCAATTATATACTGGTGTTTTATAACCAAATACTTTATTAAGTATGTGAACTAATGTATGCATATAATGAAGCTGTACACTAACGAGACCACATTCCTAACTACACTTTACATGAAATATAATCAAACAACATCAGCTGGTTTGTATAGTAAAGTAAATCTTTGTGAGCTGCTAGGCTCATAAGGTTGGAGCTTACTGTATCCCCAGTTTCTGTGACATGAAACAGTTGAGAGTGTGATTAACCCCACCCACCCCCTCCCCCTTGGGAGGTTAGTCCATCACAGGCTACTTTCAGAGCAATTACCTGGTACTCAAAGCTACAGAATTATAGACTGAAGCAATGTAAATAGAGTGCCTTGCTAAAGAACACATTCAAAATGAATGAGGGATTGAAATCTCAACTTTGTGGCTGGGAAACAAACTGTTCCCACTGCCCCAAACCACTTCTATGGTTGATATACACAGTGCTATATTTTGCATTTAATTATTAAAATTAGCTTGCAAATTGAAATTCCTTTTCATTATTCCCAACTTTTGATGTCTCTTACAATAGCCATATAAGTGGCAAATTCCGTAAAAAATAATAAAATCAAACAAACCAATAAAATTTACCATTATATTCAGAATGTTTGTTCATTCAGATATTATCAGCTGTTTAGTTAAAATGGACTAGTTGTTTATACAGCCACTGTATGCAGGTGAAATGCAGTGGACCAAACAAGCCATTGTCCTGGCAGGAAGCGGCAGTAACTGAACCGCTGCATTACACCTGCCCACAGTGGCTATACAGTACAAACAACTAGACCATCTTAACCAAACAGCTGATAATATCTGAATGAACAAATGTTCTGTACATATAGGTAAATTTTATTGGTTTGTTACATTTCATTATTCTTTATGAAACGGTATATACTGGAAGACAGTGGATACTACACAAATGCTATGTAAATTTCTTCCTTTTCCTATTGTACATTGGCCTCATCTTCCCCCTTCCTCTGAATCTATCATCCCTTTTTTATTCTTTGACCTTCCACCATTACAAAATTACAATTAGTTAGCACATGAAATCATTGTTGGTGGTTTTTAAAGTGAATAAAAGTTGAATTAAACTCAACTAGACCCAGTCCTCTATTGTAGCAAATATCAGTGGTTCAAAGCACAAACTAATACATTTATTTAATAATTATATAAGTAAATTCATGTGTATTAATTTATTTTACCTCGTCAGGTGCATGTTCTGTTTCTGGTGTTTCTTCTACAGCTTCAGGTTTTTTTGTTGTATCTTCTTTAGTCAACCAGAAGTTAATATCATCATACTTCAAAAGACAAATATAAAAGCAAAATTGATGAGCAACTCATTAATTTATAATACAAACAGGGGATGCATGCAGCACAGATGTCCTTAGTATTATGCACTATTTATAGGACTACTATTATAAAACTATATATATACATATCCATATACTCATCACAAAGGAAAGACTAGTTTTGTCTGAAAGCTCTGGTTATATTTCTGGATGTTTACTTAAGTTTACATTTTACTGTAGCTGTTGCTTATCAAATCTGTGCCTCTACCGAGATCCACCCCTGGTTTCCAACAGCATTATTGTTCAGTACAGTATTTTGTATTTTAATGTATACCATATACATATAAAAATATAAATATACAAACTTTAATTTCCATGTTAAAATCCAAAGTGATGTTTGCAATAGCAAATACCTTGCTTTTTTCTGGTTCTTCTGGTTGAGAAGCTGTTGATTTTGTTGTGCTTGGTGACGCTTCCTCCAATCCTCCATTGGTAACAGGCTCTGGTTCACCACCGAGTAAGTTTTCCTCATTTTCCTCTGTTGCTTTAACTTCAACCTTTGGTTCTTCATCAGCCTCTGATTTTGATCTCTTTTTCTACAATGAGCAATATTATCATATTTACAAATAACCTTAAAAGACAACACATTAGATATGAAAACTAAATCTCCGAATCTATAATTTCTTATATGACAAATTTGTGTGATATGCTCATATACGGGCATGTTGATGCCATATTACACCCAAATATGGGCATATCACAATAAAATGTGGCAAAGCTTAAGCTTCATAAGGGCAGAGTTAAAGCTTCAACAATTAAATATACCTTTACCGCCAGCTGCATGCTCAGTGTGTGTGGACTGTAAGTAGGTCCTCCACATACGATACTTTGCAATAATTTTAGTCAACTTTGAAATGGAACTATTTGCAATGCATGTGGACTTGTCAAATAAGGGCTGGTCTGAGAAGACCAATTTGTTACTCTTGGTTCTGCTAATTGCTATATGTGGCAAAGACAAGCCAAACCAGTCACTCATCACAAAAATCAATTTTTAGTTATTAATACAGGGCAAAACAGTAAAATGAAAGCTATAAAATGGTTAAAAAATAATTTTAAATCCAACATTTCTTTTTGAAGTTACAAGCGTTTAAATATACAGCTGTTTATAGAACAATATTTGAGAAATCTGCTTTCAAAGTTTATGATTTTGGGCATTTCTTCAGGCAGAAACAATCACCAAATTGTTAAAAATTGTTGTTTTAACATTTAAAATGGCGAAAATAACAACACAGCATGATGTATAGATATATAAAGGTTAGTTTAGTGCAATAAAATAGATTTCAAAAATTTTGATATTCCAGCATGTCATAGCCATTATCTCTGAAACACAATTTGCGACGAAGTGACTGGTTTGGCTTGTCTTTGCCACATATTATAATTATGATTCTTATAACTGTCTATATCACATCTGTCTCTCACATGTATTTTCAAAAACTTAACCTAGCCTGAAAAAATTAGCACAGGTTTACTTTGATAAAAAGGAAAAAGTAACTACCTTTTTTTCTTTCTTGACTTTCTTTTGTGCCTTCTTATCTTTTTTAGTTTTCTTCTTTGTCTTGCCATCAGTAGCATCTTGATCTTCAGCTGGTTTGCTTTTGCCATCGACAACATGATGTCTACGCACAGGTATCTTCTCATGGGCATCAAGAGGACTGCAAGACAATCAGAATTTTAAATATTATTCTTACATTATCTGCCTAGCTATAGACCGTATCAAAGCAGCTTAAAAATCTGTGTTGAACTAATGAACTTGAATAATATATTCAATTTAAGATAATTATGTTACTGCAGCCAGGGATTTGCTAAAGACAGAGTTTATATTTTGATTCTATTCTATATAGCTTCAGGCTCTAAAGCCAAGGATATACCAAGCAGTTAACTTAATCACTCTTCAAAGTGGCAATAGTGTCACAAGACAAACATACACAAAATGCTTTACATAGACTAAGTCTCATTAGGAGGTTTAGGGAGTGGAGTTGATTGGTCGTGAGAAAAATTCTGTTACCGTGACAGGAAATGAACACAGGACACTGGAATTGGAAAGCAAGCTATTCAACCCCACTCCACTAGAGTTAAATGCAAAATGAGTGTGATTTTTATATACCATGCAAATTAACGGGATAGGTAAAGTAAAATAGTCTTTGCGTAAACCCTTTAATTGGCTAATAATTTAAATTTTAAAAAGTAAATCAGCAAAACTTAATTAGGATATTGAATCTTTCCAATGTTACATGAAGTTATTTGAAAAACTTAATTCTATTGCGCTTGTCTGATTCAATTTTTATAACTTATTATATACATATGACACATTATTAGTATCAATTATTATATTAATTATCTATAATATTGCTAATTAATTAAGTAATTAACGAGATAATAAAACATACGCATCAAGATCAATGTTCAAGGCTCTGTGTGGATCGTTAACATCATGTAATTCCTCATCATCTTCTGATATTGTAGCACCCTATGAAATCAAGTCACAAACATCATCATTAATTTCCATTTTATATATAATAGTCATTAAAAAATAATAATAGAAATATTAGTTTCTGCTTCTAATTTGTGTTGTAGGTTATCTACTGCTATAAATTGATTGAGTGATTGGTTGATTAATTCATTCAACAACAATACATTTTGTTATGGAAAAGTTTCTAAAATCTACACAACAATCTCAATAAGTAATTTGCTTGATTAGTTAATCAATTTCTCCCGAATAAAATAAAGTAAATTTCTGACAATGAACGGTAAACATCAAGGCTCAATAAAAAATATAAAATGCTGTAAATATTTGTTCCGATGATTTTACACAATTCTGTGGTGTTGATTGGTAGATCTGGCTCAACCCAACCTTAAACTTCAGTCTCACTATCTTAATGCACTACAGCAGGTCAGAGCAATATCCATTGACTAAATGTAAACATAAAGCACTGTCAAGCCTATCAAACTCTATTTGACAAAAACATGTGACATGCCTATATATGGTCATGATGACATCATAACACGGGCGTGTATAGGTACATCATCACTATATATAGGCATGCAACTTAAAGTCAGGCTACCAACCTCCGGCATTTCCTCCTCAATGATATCAACTGTATGCACAATGGGAATATCATCACTGGACACGGACACAGTGCGCTTCTTCCGTCCTTTCTTCCCACGCTTTTTGGATTTCTTTCCTTCTGCCGGTCTGTGCATGTACTTGTCTGTAATGTTACCTATAAAATACCATCAAAACATAACATTCTAGTAGCAATAAATTATAACTGAAATAAACAATCATTGGTTATTTATCAATCACAACATGAATAAATACAAAAACAAAATTTTCAATAAACGTTGTTCCAAGTGATTAATTATAATGAATATCCAAGTTGCATTTGAAGGTGAAATGTAACAAATTAAGCTTTATTACTGAAGTAAACACCTTAAAAAAAAAAACCCACAAAAACTTTTTTTGTTTAATTATAGCAGGACAATATTCTGCAAAGGTGGTGATGAACGGTAATGAAAAATTATAAATTAAAAAAATCACACAAAAATGGTGTAATTATCAAAGAAAACAGAAATGAAAACACTGACAACAGAACTATAAGAACATGAAAGAATATAACTGTATTTTATAATAAATGAGTAACGCTTAGCCAAACGAAAATTATCAATATTACTGCTGTACCATCAACAAAACTACCATCATCTCCTACACCACTGCTGACAACACTATGATTATCATCACCACCACTACTACTGTCACCATCATCACCATCATCCTACTTATCCCCATTCTCTCCACATCACCATAATCTCTACCACTAACACTCCCTTCATCCCCACCATCATTCTCCTTATTTAAACCATCGTCTCGACGTCACCATCATCTCCACACTACAACTCTTGTCAACATCATCACCACCAACACTAACATCCTAACCATCAACATCATCATAGAATGTAACTAATAACAAAGTAAAAGTTAAAAAATGCAACTGCAACATCATAAGTCAGTAACGTTAATTCATAAAAGGATAATAAAATATCGAATATGTCTGTAGTCCTCAAGATACTTCAGTTATACAATGATGTACATTAAATGTTGGGCAAAACCATTTATGTGACAACAAAATGAAAATCCACCCACCACACATCACATAAACATCATCTTCACATTTGTAATAATCATGCATTAGGTCACATGGTCAACACTAACCAATCACAGATGAGAACATTATAACAGCAAAGCACATGAAGTAAATGCTTATAAGAATTATATCTTCTACTTAAAATAATTAATGTTTATGAAAAATAGAATAAAAAGAGGACGGACAACACAAAATGAAAACAAAACCAACAAAAGAAGCAAAGAGAATGGAAAATGGCATGGTTTAGGCTATAAAACTAAAGATTGATAATGGTGCTTTAACCATCATGTTAACATGAAAGATGACAACGCAACACACAAAAAATTAACTGGTTAACAGGTGAAATGGTTCTAATACCTGGTATGTCATAATACGGGGATCGATGACCCCCTCTCCCTAACGAATGCGTGCAGAAAAACAAAGTGTGTTAATTAGAGTAGATATAATGTGTATGTTTGCTCATATTAGCATCACTGATTATAACAATCAAGAAATTAAAGATGGAAAATGTGTCATTTATATCTATACATGTGACAAATTGGTGAATATTAACGAGTCAAAGAGTGTAGAAACCATGAATGTAGTCTAATTTTTCAAATTGAAATTGTGGAGTGCTAACTATTAAATTAAAGCTCATAAACCAAATTATAATCATTTTTGGATTCCTTTTTTTCATATTACTTTAAATAATACATGATTTATTGAAAAATATTTTCTCTACACATTACAGAGTATTGTACTAA